GTCTTTAATTTCAATCATAATTCAAGGATTTGCATCAATTGCAAGCGCAATAAAAGTAAAAATGAAAAAACTGTTGATTGAGCTCGGCCCTTAGCCAGTTAGAAGTGGACGATGGCAGGGGAATTGCCATACCCTATCATTATCTAATAGCTGCGCAAAACGAATTCAACTGCGAGTTGTTGAACTGTGCCTTTAACTATAGGCGAAGGCCTCCCGTCTCGACACTTTATCGCGCGTATCGTGCATAAGCTCGTAAACTCGTCGATTCGTATATATAATTATATATATATATATATATATATATATATATATTTATATATATAGTTGCATAGTCAAGAGAACGACAAGTGTGTGTGTGTGTGTGTGCGTGTGCTTAAATCAAGTAAACGTGTCAATCACAAAACGTCTTAGATGTGTCAACAGCGCAGGCGAACGACAGAATCACACAAGAAACAATACAACGACAATAATTTATTTGTTAGCTTGTAATAATAATAATAATAAGAATCAGCAACAACAATAACGTTAATTATTCAGATAAACATCATGTCGTGAGCTGCCACGAAGCGCAAATACCCTTACAATTTAGGCCAACTGATTGAAAAGATTATAATAATATAGAGTACAACTCTTAGGGAAAGGGAAAGGGTGCGAGAGAATGAGAGAGAGAGAGAGAGAGGGAGATAAAGTGTGAGTAAGAGAAAGTTACAGATAGACAGTATGAGAGAGAGACAGATACGAAGAGATTTAGCGAGGGAGTCAGAGATTGAGAAAGGGAGAATGAGACAGAGAAAGAGAGGGAAAGAGAGAGAGTGCAAATGAAAAAGTACGAAAGACAAAGAAAAAGAGTAAGACCAAAAGAGCGGAAATGAGAAAGAGAGAAATGGAGAGAGATAGAAAAGGAAGAGCGAGAGAGAGAGGGAGCGACAATGAGAGAAACAGAAAGAGGGAGACAGACAGAAAGACAAAAAGATTGAAAGTAAAAAAGAATGAGTGAGAGAGCAAGTGAGAAAGGGAGAGAGCAGGAGATTGAGACAAAGATAAGAATGAGAGAGAGACAGAGAGAGAGAGTACTACAGTAAATATTATAGAATATAGAATTAGTTAAAAATTAGTTTCCCATTCATTTCTCTCGACCCTCCGAAACCAGAAAAACATCACGGATAAAACGTCTTGTGCGAATATATGTAAGAGGCAGAAGAAGAGTTCCACAAACCCGTTAAGCAGATATATTCTGTCTCTATTCTGCTCAAACTCAAGGATCTTAGAACCTGTATCGGCTACTGTCTAAAATCGACAAGAACCGATATCTATATCATGCTATTCGTCTTTATCTTTATCTCCTGCATATTCATATGCATAATACGTAGAATAGAATAAATAGAATCTGTTTGTGCCATGAAATTTTGAATAAGAATCGGACAACAGGCTCCGAAGTTACTCAGGTGTGGGAAGGAAAGAAAGCAGAAACTATGTTTAGTTCTTTTTATAACAAGTTCGAAGCGGAGCAAAAGAAAAAAACTAAAAAACAATTAACACACTTTTTACAACTTGGAAATGAGAGATGTTGCCAATAACGGAAATATCCAACTGATGTTAGGGTATACAACTGTTTATTCAGTCTATAGGGTATACATTTGTTCGGTTACACGTGAGACAGCCTGTGTATAACATGCGTTTAGGCAGCAGCTTTGCCATTTTGGGGGCGAATCGTAATTGAAGAATTTAATCGTCATATTTGCCAAATGACAGCTGCTGAGTTGAGTTGCAATTTTTGGGTAACGATTCGCTTGAGGGGTGATACGAAAGGCGGGTGGTTAGAAACGAGTACAACTACTTAGCTACTGAGTATACTCACAAATATTCATAAATATTCGGCGCTTGGCACGTGGGTGGCCGGCAAATGCGGAAGCGGCACTTGAAATGCCGGCGAATATGAATACAGAAATACCTACATGCTAGCTGCAGATACAGTATCTGGTATCTTATAGTTGTATATACAATTTGTATCTTTGAGTATATTCGCAACGCTTTAATGTTCATCAAGTGGGTGTCTATCAACATGAATGAGAATATTTAAATGGCAGCGCAAAAGGCGCACCAAATCTCTGGCAAATCTCAGCAGCAGCATATGTATCTGTATCTGTATCTGTAGCTGTAGCCGTATCTGTATCTGTATCTGTAGCTGTGGCTGTATTTGTATCTATGTTTCTGTGGCCGCATTTGCAGCTGTGTGCGAGCAATCGAATCAAGAGACAAACTGGGTAATTGGTTCATTATATTGTAGAAGCCAACGACATCCGCTCGTTAATGTAAATTACACAATAGTTTGAAAATCATATTTTTTTTTGGCTTCGGATGCCGCACAACGTTTCATTTCCATTTCGTTTCTCACTGTGTTCTATTCCCTTAGCATAACCCAACACTACCAACGGCAAACATTTAACAGAAGGCTGGTAAAACCAGTTGGCATCATTTTTTTATACATCAACAATAAATTCAAATCAATTACTTATTTAAAAGTTACAGCTAACTTTAAACACGAGCCAAAGACAACGAGAAGCTTTTTAAAGATAAAGCCTATCCTACAGCTAACTTTTAACATGAGGATAAGTTGAAGATAAAAACTAAAAGAACCAGTTTATTTCCCAGAAATAAAAAGATAGGCTGAGCATGAAATTAGTGTATTAAGAAAAGGTTTTAAAGCCTCCGATTCAAGCTACTCTCTAAACATATAAACATGAGAAGTGAATAGAATCGGTATTTAAGGTCCGATCGGCATGAAATTTCTAGCTTTATACTCCAATGAGAACCCATGCACCAAATTGAGTATATGTAGCTTTTATAAAATTTCAAGTCTCTAGAGCAGAAACATATAAACAGGGTCGGTTGTGACCACTTCTGCCTGTTACAAAGATTCGCCTAAAACCAATAGGCCCACTTAAATCATTTTCAATGGCTGCAGGGTAAACGTAACGCCCTTACAATAAACAACATGTAAACAAATTTCATAGCAGTTATCTATCAAAGTGAATTGATTGTATAAAAATAAGACAACTTTGTTTATAGAAGTAGAAAAAATATATATATATAAATAATAAAAAAAAGGCCTCGAATTGCGACTGAGACACAAAGTCTAAAAGTCCAACAAAAGACAAACAAAATAACTTTATAATACGAGAGTTATGCTACGGGTATAAACAAATGGAAATCTAACATTTCGTCTGTTTAAATAAACGCGACGTGTTTTAACTGTAAACAGCGAATTTCTGAACTCGAGATCTATGTGAATACGAATCGTAAGATATATGTATAAGATAAATTCCAGACGACTTTGTCACCAAAAAGCTGACAAAACTCTTTGTTTTTATTTTTTCGAAAATGTTGTTACATTATCTGAATAGATGCATTTGTCCAGAAGTCATGTTTTTTGTTTTATAAGAAAAATATCTTGACTATATCTTGACTATATATAGATTATTATATATCGCGCGCTTAAGCACGTTTTATTTGATTTTGATCAAAGATTTAACATAAAAGATATATTTAAACTTTTTATTATGAATGTATAGCATATATTATCGATTCAAGCAATCGAACTACGTGAGTTTTCACTGTATTCTAAATTTAATAATAGCTATAAAAACAACAACAACAACAAACACACAAATATTCGCCTGTATGCAAAGAAATTCCAATTTCGTGGCGGCAAATGAAATAAGAGACAAATAAATGGATGCGCTCTTAAGAGCGGGCGAAAGAGCGACCATAAGAGAGAGAAAGGGCGAGAGAGAGCGAGAGAGAGGGCGAGAGCGAGAGCGCAGCTGATAATACGATGCAACAACAACAAATAGAATACAATGGAGAATTATCAGTGGACTGCGTGATATGATTATCAAAAGGTTTCTTCTCATTGTTGTTGTCGCTGCCTCTGTCGCTGCCTCTGCCGCTGCCTCTGCCGCTGCCTCTGCCGCTGCTGCTTCTCAATACACATGCTACATATGTAAAACAGTTTAACAGCCCCACACACACACACACACACACACACACACCGCATATGTATGTATATAATAAAGAAGAACAAATAAGCCCAAGTGCAAAAAACAGCAAAAAAAAAAAAAAGCATTATTGTAAATGTAGCTAAGAAAATGTCACGTTTTATAGACTTAATTTTGGGCTGCGAACCAAGCGAGATGAATAGGAGAAAAACTATAAAAATTCAAAAGCAACCAGATTGCACAGTGCTCAACTAGCAAATACCCTGCAAAGAGCTAAAAAAAAAAAACAATCAGAAATCGAGATAAACAAATGAAAACAACAAACAAATGCGCTGCCTGCGAACGAAGCGGAAAGCAGTGACCAATTAGCAAATACCCTGCAAAAAGCAATATTCAATTAAAGCTTACAAATAATTCATTCATTCAGTTGCCAAGTGAAGTCGCAGATACCTGCTAACGCCTGCGCTCTAAGAACAGGGTGTGCCAAAGAGGAAAAAAAAATAACAAAACTAGCAGAAAACAAACAACTATTTGATATACAAATTTTGCAGACACGATTCTTAGCAGCTACTACAGTAAATAATTTGTATATATATATATATTTGTGTGTGTGTGTGCGTGTGTTGACACAGTTGTAACATAGCCAGCCAATAAATAATAAACTTAGGCAAAACAGCATTAGTCAAGGCAATTTGGACACAGCAGCTGCATGACATGCAAGCTGCGCTTGAAGTTTGCAAATGCAACAAGTTGGCAGCACCCAAAACAATAAAAACAAAATGAAAAGCAAGGAAGAAGCAAAAACACTTTCATTGATAAACAGCAGCAGCATAAAAAGATCAACGGCTGCGGCTGCGGCTGCGACTGCGACTGCGGCTGCGGCTGCGGCTGCGACTGCTGCTGCTATTGCACTTTGTCTTGCGGCTTTCGTTTTGCACTCTCTCCCTCCCACTCTCGCGCGCTCTCTCTCTCTCTCTCTCTCACGCACACTTGCATACTTACATTTGTTTGTCCAAAGCAGCAGGCAACAACAACAGCAGCAACTGGCATCAATCAGCCGCAATGCGTCGCCGTCGACAATTGAGACTAACCAACATTAAACTGTAACTTCCTCACACGCACACACAGATATGCATGCACATGCACACATACACACACAGTATTTATTATTACTTTTTTTTTTTTTTTTTGTTTGAAATGACATGTGTTGTAAAATTTGGCACTAATTTAGTCGCTTTTGTTGAACCTGTTGCACGCACCCAAACAAAAAAAATTAAATAAAATCCGAAAGAAACTTTGAAAAAATATATAAAAAAAAAGACCGGGCATATTAATAAATATTATAATTGTGTATTTGCTAGAACAGTAGACACATTAGCACAAATGCAGGCGGCGGCGGCTTTGAGTTGCGCGCGCGCGGTTTTAAGTCGTAGCAGCAGCAGCAACAACAACAACAATAGCAACAACAACAGTAGACAGGCATATAAACAAACAGCGTGACAGGCGGCAACAAATATTGAATTAAACAAAACAAAAAGCAAAATAATAATAAATAAATAAAGAGCCAAGAATTTAAATTTAATAAAAATACACGTACACACACACACAGACACACACACGCAGGCATGTACATAAAGCGTTGCCTCTTGTTGCTTTTGTTGTTAATATTATTATTATTATAGTTGTTGTTGTTGTTGTTGCTGCTGCTGCTGCTGTCGGCTAACGACGACAGCGACGATCACACAAACGCACGAAGTGCACGACGAACGATCTGACACGCACGAAATGCAAAAACGCACTGAATATGATATTTAAAAGAGAGTAGCGACATTTTATTATTTACGAATGCTCCACGCAGTTGGGCATCTTTGTCAATTGCATGGCACGATTTAATGCACGTTGTGCGGCCAACAGTTGCACATTTTAACCAATTGAATGAAACCAAAGCGATTTTAATCAAACTGTATAGCCGAAACAATTGTAAAGAAAACCAATTCAAATAAAAAGTCAGAATAACGCTAAATACTCAAAATGCACTGCAATGTTATGCTCAAAGTGAACGGTTAACTGGCGCTGTTAGCCATAACATGGCGTTTTTATGCTAGCATGACACTCTTTAACTTTGAATACCTTATAAAAAATAAGCACACCGTCGACTGCTATATATAGGAAGCCTTAATAGTGGTGCGATATTTGCTAAATTGTTTTTCGTAAAATAAATATACGCTTTTGCAGCTACTTTTGTACTGGCTAAATTCATGTTTCGCGCACAAAATTTGAAAATATAGTGTCTGTTGTGCGCATGTTAACAGCAGCAGCGTAATAACAGTGTGCTTTGCTGTTGCTCACATTTAACATTAGCTGTCGCCTTCAGCCGTTAATTTTGAACAATTTGAGCGACTGTTTGCATATTGCATCAACTACCAACGAGCATATTAATTAAAACACATATTCTACAAGTCTTGCAAAATATTCTATTCTATAAATGTATCTAATGTACTTCATCCCTAATGGGTCTTGTGCTTGGGTAAAATATTCAACATTAACTTATGCTTGATCATGTGCATCATGCGATAATGCCAGGTGCTCGAGAACGAAACAAAGGGCGGAATCGTTGGTAAAATGTTGCTTTTAAAGCATACGTTATTCGGCTCCAGTTCCCCAACAGTATGATATCCAGGATTAACACACGACACCTGGCTAAACAGCTGGACATCGAGCAGCGCGTCCAGATAATCCTCCACATCCTTGGCCTGTCGGATCAGCTGCTTGGTGGCGAGCATACAAATATTTTCAGCTTCCTCCAACTGCTTGTACCGAATGTGCTTCTCTGCAAGGTATGCTGCCTTTGTGTGCATCGACTCCACATAATTCAAGAATACCGACTGCATTTCCTTGGCGTTCTCCTTGCTATCGCTCCAATTAGCGAACATGTGGCACAAATGCGTGTAACGCTGCAGACAGAGCGATGCCTGATGATCCGTTTGTAGCTTTATCGATTCGACGGCATCGTATTGTTGGCGTGCATCGCGCATGTCTCGCTGCAGTTGGCAGAAGGAGCATCCCAGTACGGTCAGCATATCCTTGGCCATGTCGGAGCAAGCAAACAGTTCGGCAATTTGATGCTCCAGCTTGTAGACGTTGCGCTGCAGCTGTCTAATGTTCGCATCGCTGGAATCCTTCAGATCTGGCTCTATATTAGCGCAATCGACGGGCAAACGTGGCGGACACGCGGGCACGCCCGTCTTAAGCTGCAGCTCCAAATTATCCAGATAGCCCTTCATCAGCTCCAGCTCGGCGGCAATCTGTTGCACCTCCGGTTCGGTGGGCTCCAATAGGCTGTCCGTGTTGCTGGCGCTGGTGGCGCTGTTGCCGCTGCTCGAGTTCCAGGAATGCACCTCCATTGTGTAAGTGTGTAGTTATTGAGTCGTAATGGCTAACTACTGCTCCGAACTGGAATAGTTAGTCAGACAGCAAACACTGTCGAATAGAATGGCAAGGCGCGCTTGTTTAAATTTCTCGCACCCAGAACACAGAGTTGCTTTTAACATAACAGTGTGCTCTGTAATCTGCAATTCACATCAAGTCTCTGTTAATCTAAGCTGTGATCTGTAATCTGCAATTCACATTAAGTCTCTGTTAATCGATGCTGTTAAGCTAAAACACTTTACATATATATATTATTAAACTGGGTTTATTCTTCGCACAGCTAAAAATGATTAAAAGTGGGCGGCTTTTTCATAGTTTGTAAGTTTATTATTATTTATTTTCATTATTTCACTCACTTTGTACCATTTTGTCAGCTCAAGAAACTATTTACAGCCCTTAAGCAGTTCCGTTATTAAAAGCTGTTAGACTTAAATATTTGCTTAATATTTTATTATTAATATTGCTCAATAAACTATGTTTTAATAATTGCAAAAAGTGAGCTATCAGCGAAGAGAAAAAAAAAAAACAATAATATATATCTAATGTGAAAAAAGAGTATAAGGCTATTAGATGAATTTCATATCTAACTAAAAACTAGAGCTGTGACGGTAAATATATATTTTTTGAAAAACACAACACATTTTTAACAGAACCTTTCGAGTAAACAGTTATGAAAAACACACAAAAACCAAAAGTGCTTTAGTTGGGTTAACTGTGCTTTAGTGGATTAACCCCATTTACAGCTGTTAAACGCATTTTGAATATTAAAACATGTTTATTTATACCGCACCCTTTCTACATTAACATTTTAGTCAACTTTTTCTTTTTAGTAGAAAACATAGAAATTAAGAGCACTTTTGTTTTGTCAATAGGCACAACAGAAACACAAAAATGTTAAAAAGCTGCCAGCTAATTAGTCCTTGAACTTGCCCAAAATGATGTCCTTGTAGAAGGGCACACAGTTCATGCGGACATTGAGACGGGCGCACAGCAAAAAGATGCCCGACAGCTTGCGATGTATCGAGTAAATCTCCTCGGGCGGCGGACAGAGACGATGCGCCACCATTGTGGGCACCAGGGCGGCCAGACGCTCGGTCGTATTCTGTTTGCCAAAATCAAAATCGCCATCATAGCGAAAGATCTCGCCGAGTATCATAACAGCATCGACATGGGCCTGCTCCATTTGCTTTGTCTCATAGCCCGTCAGGAAGCCCATTTCCCGCGACATCTGCAGCACCCCATCCCGATTATTCTGCGCCGCACTGATGATAACTTGGCGATAGTTTCGTATGAAGTCGTGCTTGTAGAAGCGCGTCGATCCAAAGTCAATCAGCATCAGACGCCGGCTGTTCACATCGTACAGAAAGTTCGACCAGTTCGGATCCGTTTGCATGCACTCGATCTCGAACAGCTCGCGCAGGCACAGCTTCAGCACAGAGGCGGCGATGTGGGAGCGATGTTCATAGCTGAAGGGGGTATTCACAAATCGGTTCGCTTAAATATGGTTTCAGTTGAACAGAAAAGTCGAGTGTCATTCGGCTAATAATAATGCTCCAATGACACGTGTCTCTGGAGCTGAATACTGAACCATTAAAGTTGCCTCCTCGGTCTGTACCCTAACCTAAACATGAACTAGATCTATGTCGAAGCGGTAGTATTATGTGTATTATGATGAGCCTAGACTAAATGGGAAGCTAGCTTATGCTCGGATGACACTAGACAGTTTTGTAACTAGTGCAAACCAAGAAAGAGCAAGAAAAGTAAGGTTATCCTTGTCTAACCAATGTCAGTTCTTTGGAACCAGTGAAATGAATCAGTGAAATGCAGCACTGCACACGCGCTGTCCTTGTCTAACCAATGCTCAGATGAGCTGTTGACTTTATGCCAAAAAAGAATCGCTAACTTGCACTCACCTGAGCTCAAAGCACTTGTCGAGGGGCACACCTGGCACCAGTTCTGTGGTCAGGACACTGGAGGTGGTCAGCTCACGAACCACCTTGGGCACATAATATTCGTTGTAGGGTGAAATCATTTGGCGAAACTTTTCGGTATAGTCGGCCTCGCGTGCATAGTCCACCTCCCATTGCAGCTCGCGCTTAGCCACGCGCACCACATTGTCAATGAAGAATCCCTGCGGGAAGACATCCCAGACCTTGAGCATGCCAACGAGATTATCAATATCGCTCTCGATGCTCTGGGCAACGCCCGGATATTGTATCTTAATGGCCACCTCCATGCCATCGAGCAGCGTGGCCCGATGCACCTGGCCAATGGATGCCGCCGCAAACGGTTTGTCATCGAAGCTGCGCAAACGTTTGCGCCAATCGGGACCCAGCTGTGTGTTCATCACGCGCTCCACCTGCCAGTCGGGCATATAGTCGGCCGCCTGGCGCACCCGTTCGAACGCCTTCGCCAGCTGCGGCGAGACGACGTTTGTGTCCTGTATGCTCAGTATCTGGCCAATCTTGAGCGCGGCGCCGCGCACCTTGCACAGCGTATCGACAATGCGTTCCGCGTTCGCCGGGCTCAGTAGTGCGTCGCGCATATTCGTTGAGCCGCCCAGGCCCAGGGCGCCCTTTGTCAGCTCATTGATGGTGCCCACGCCGAGGCCAGCGAAGAGGCCGCCAAATGTGGCCATGCGTCCCAGTCGCGATGCCGGCACACGCCGCTGCTTGGCCACCTTGCTCAGCTCTGGTAGCGTCGATTCGGGGGCCTTCGGAGCAGCTAGAAATTGGGAGCATGTCAGATGTAAGGCATGAGTTCGGATTAGAGGCAGTTTATTTCGAATCAATTTCATTGTGAGTGCTTTGTTTTTTAGCTGAAATCTGGTAGATATTGCCAGGGAACGACTGGAAACGGAACACTAATAGAAATTGTGAATTCTAGAATTAAATGTGCATTTACAATTTCGGAATAGTTTGCTGAGGGAACGACTGGAAAAGGAACACCAATTGAAATGAAGAACTCCTCAATTGAATATTCATTAACAAATTAAGGATAAATTCATTAAGACCCTAAGGGAACGCCTGGAAACGGAACAACTTCAGACACTTTTGCATTGATTACGCTTCATGCCTATTTTTACAACATATTCGAATCAAATATGCATTAAAAAATTTTGGAAACGACTGGAATCGGAACACGTTTGGAATTGACAATATCTTTGAATTGCATATGCATTAAAGCTTTTGTAGAGAAACAACTGGAATGGAACAACAGTAAATGGAACACTTTCAAAATAAGCGTAACGACTGGAATCGGAACACATTTGAAATAGACAATATCTTTGAATTACATATGCATTCAAGAATATGTAGAGAAACAACTTGAATGGAACAACTGTGAATGGAACACATAACCACCTTAAGCTATAATACATCTAATAAATCTAGATTGAAATCTAATTCACAAAGGGAATACGAAATCGAAACAAAATAAGATAGAAACACGCATTCACAACGGAATTGAAACACGCAAATGCTTTTCATGCATACCAGTTTTTGCCGCCGTGGATGATGCCATGGTCGAGGTGCCAGCCACAAAGCGCATCAGATTGTCCACATATTCGGTGTCCCTGCTGAGGATGCCCTCATTGCCGCTGGGCGCTGGCGGCGTCGCCTTGATCGTGGGCGGCAACGTTTTCGGTTCGGTGGGCAGCTGCTTGCTGGGCGTGGCGGGCGTGCGCAGACTGACGTTACGATTCATGTTGCGCTTGGAGAGGATTTCCTCGAATTCCAACAGCGTTATGGACGATATATCCAGATTGGCGGCATCGGCAACATCCGAATGGCTGCGACTTGAGCGCGACACGTGACCAACAGCGCCGTCGGCAGCAGCTGTTGTGCTCGAACTGTTCTGCCAACCGATGGGCTGCAGGCTATTCAGATCACAGGCAAATTTGGTTTGCAGCAAGTGGGACAGACCCTGGGCCACCACGTAGCCACGTTCGCCGGTCTCCTGGAGCAGAGCTTGCGCCTTTTTCAATTCCTCGCTGGGCTGTTCGCTGGCCGTGCGCAGCGCGTCCACCGTCTGATTCACATTGGCCTCAAGCAGCTCGCGCACACTCGAATTGCTCCACAGATGCTTAGTCAGCGCCAGATGCTCGCGACCGCACGCCTCCGCAACGATTTGCAGGCCGCGCAGCACGCCGAGCACGTCTTGTGCTGTGCGTGCCATCACCACACGTTTGACCAGTTGGCGATGAGTGGGTGTTGTGCTCGGTTGTGCTCAGTTGTCGCAGTTGTCGCAGTTGTTGTTATTGTTGTTCTTCGGCTGTTTGCCGGCAAATCGAGGCGCAGTCAGCTACAAGTTTTGGGACGCTACTGCATCGGTCCGTGCTGCGTCTGGCTGTGCGTGTGTGTGTGTGTGTGCGTGTCGTTGGCACATACAATTTCGTATTTCGTTGCTGACTAAAAAATACAAATATTCAGTTACGTAAACATAAATAAATAAACTTGCACGTATGTTGCGAAATTAAAAAAAACAGCTGTTGGCCAAACAAGTTTATTACGGTTCACTTGCACAGTGTTGGCAAAAGCCCATAGAACTTAACAGTATGTTAACGCTAACAGCGCTATGTTAAGCGAATTAAGTAAATGCATTGCATTTTCGTCTTAAATCTATATATTAAATTCACATTTATTATAAGTGTCAACAACAAAGCCAATCGTTTGTTTCAATTTAATTGAAATCTAGTATTTCTGCTAAATTTAGATGACTGACTATGTTTGCTTGTATGTTTTTCGGTATGCAATGCAACAGGCAAAAACCAGCTACAAAAATTCTCAGCAGCTAATTAATATATGTACGTACGTATGTAAATTCAAAATCACTTTATATGCCATAAGATATAATTGAAATAAACTGGCAGTCAATTAATTTAAAGCAAACTTCACAATTCATCGTTTCAAAATGGCGAAATGCCGAAAAGCAAAAACACAAAATGGCGCAAAACGAAAATTACTCAAATGGTGCTGGCAATAACAGTCGCTCAATTGAACTGATTCCGAAGCGCACGCACATGCCAATGTTTACATTTTAAATTTGTAATGTGCGGCATATATTGTGGAATAAGCCGTAATAATGATGATGCCAGTTGTCATATGCACAGCGCCTTGGAGACGCTACTACACAATCGCGGACCCGACCTAAAAGACAAGCTCATTGTGGACAATGTGCTGCTGGCCGGCAACGTTCTGTGGCAACAGGGCGCCGCGCCCCAAAAGCAGCCCCTGGTCAAGGCGGATCTGGTGCTGCTCTTCAACGGGGACTTGTACAATCTAAATGAAAAGAAGCCCGCAGCCCAGGCAGACAGCGCCTGGCTGCTGGAACAGCTAATCAACTGCAAGAGCAGCGACGATGCCCAGCTGTTGGCGCTGCTGCAGCAGCTCGAGGGACCCTACTGCCTGATCCTGTACAACAGGTAATAACAAATACAAATACCAGCATACATCATTAATGCATTAACCAATTCCCGCAGACGTGACCAGGTTCTGTACTTTGGCCGCGACGCACTGGGCAGAAATTCGCTGATCGTCGAACGGCACACGCATTGCCTCAAGCTGATGAGCACCTCGTGCCACGTGGAGCAGCAGGCGCCGGCTGCCTCAATGGAGCTGCCGCCACTGGGCCTGTACAAGCTGCATGTGGCGGAGCTCGACAAGTGCACATTGTATCCCTGGCAGCAGCTTAACAAGGACACAGAGCAGCAGCTGGCAATGCTGGACGCTGCCATGCACTGGAGCACAAGCCTGGAGCGGCCCATAGCGCCGGCTTGGCTGCTCGACACAACGCAAACGGTGGCCAGCTACGATCTATACGAGCTGGCCGCCGCCAACACAGTGCAGCTGGAACCGGAGGCGCTCTACACACATCTGCTGGACCATGCGCCTGTGCAGCAGACGATACGCCAATTGGATGAACTGCTGCAGCAATCGGTGGCAGCACGTGTGCTGCATACGGCGCCAGTTTGTCGCAGATGTGCCACAGCTGGCAGCTGTGCTCATGCCAAAATCTCTATACTATTCTCGGGCGGCATTGACTGCAGCATATTGGCGCTGCTGGCCGACAAATATGTGCCGCAAACGGAGCCCATCGAGCTCATCAATGTGGCCTTTGAGCGGCTGACGGCAACAGCAGCCCCGTTGGCTCAGCAGCCGGAGAGCAAATGGAATGTGCCGGATCGCCAGACCTCGCTACAAACGCTGGACGAACTGCAGCGGCTGTGCCCGCAGCGCAACTGGCAGCTGTTGCAGGTGAATGTCAGCCGACGCAAGCTGCAACAACAGCTGAGCACACACATCCGGCAGCTGATCTATCCGCTGCAAACGGTGCTGGACGAGTGCCTCGGCTGTGCCTTTTGGTTTGCCGCCGCCGCGCCCCAATCAACGGCACGCGTTGCACTGTTGGGCAGCGGCGCCGATGAGCTCTTTGGCGGCTATACGCGGCATCGCAATGCCTGGCGGCGTGCCGGCAGCGCATGCCCAGCCGTGCGTCAGCTGGCCGTGCGCCAGGAGCTGGACATGGACTGGCAGCGCATACCGGCACGCAATCTGGCGCGCGACGATCGCATCATTGCGGACAGCGGCAAGACGGCGCGCGCTCCCTTCATCGAGGAGCATCTGGCCAGTTTTGTGCGCTCCCTGGCGCCACAGCAGCGCTGCTGTTATAGTCTGCCCGAGGGCGTGGGCGATAAGCTGCTGTTGCGCCTGTACGGTCACAGTCTGGGGCTGCGCGAGGCGGTGCTGCTCAAGAAACGGGCCATACAGTTCGGCTCTCGGATTGCCGACAAGCGGCAGCAGGCGGCACAGCAATCGGACTATTTGCGCTTCGAGTCCTTGCAACTGAATTAATGTACATAGAGTTAAGAACTGAATGCCATCCATGAGAAATTCGTTTTTAAAATACATTTTATTAGAATGCCATTTACAAATCACAAACTGTGTCAACTAACTTACATAACTAGCACTTAAATCCGTTTTAAAGCTGTTCTCAAGCAATATTCGTTGCATTCTGATTGGTTACGATTGCATATAAAAATGTTAACTGCCCGCTAAATTTGTTTTGTATATCATTTAAATGGGCTGGCTATTCAAACGCTAAGGGCACTCGGCATAAAGCTACTTGTAAACATTTGTCATGCATGTTATAAATCTTGTTGTATTGCTTATGTTAACTTGATGACATAACTGTTACTGTTGTGCCTGTTAAACTTTACATGATTGATAACTGTTACCCGTATGTTATGACATTTAGTTGCTAAATGTGTTCGTGTGTTCGTTCTACTTGCGCACAGGCTTCACTGTACACAGGCACGAGTCAATTGTCGAGCATGTCTGCGGTTGCAAATTTTTAGCAGAAAATTGCCAACAGCTGCTGAATCTGGCAGTTAACTCGAAAATGGGTGTGTGCCGTGAAATGAATGCCAGCGCAAAGCTAGACAATATCCATAAACATGCATATATGTATATAGATATATATATATATATATATGTGTGTGTGTGTGTGTGTATAGATAATTAGTATATTGTTTTAAGTACATAAGGACTCGATTGTTTAGAAACATATGTACAAATTTCTTGGAGATAGAAAAAAAAAAATAATTGTGAAGATATTTACAATACAATTGCACTATTGGCGGATTCAAACCAGTTTTAAGAGGCGGCAAATGCCTCGGCTATTTGCGATTAAGGCGACCGGCACGTTCCGTTGTGGGATCGGCTAGCTCCCAGGCGGGCTTAAAGCAGGCAACGGCAGCAGCAGCAGCAGCAGCAGGAGCAGCAGCAGGTTTCGCCGGCGAGCAGCTGCTGTGCTGCAAATGCGGATTGGGCAAGGTGTTCGATCTGTAGCCAATGGATGTATAGCCCTGCGCATACAGCTGGCAATAGGGCACCTTATGCATGTGAATATAATGCCAGATGTCATGATAGCTCCACTCCAGCAAAGGATTCAAACGCATTATATCCGGCCAGTCGCTGTCCGTTTTCTGCAAAACATCAACAATAAAAGTTTGTACAAAACAGAGCGAGAGAGAGAGAGCAACGCACCTGCATGGGCTGTAGATGCTGACAATAGGGATCCGTATTGCGGCTACCGACAAAGACGGCCTTTATGCGCGGCATATCCTCCGTCATGTGGGTGAGCGCCACCTTTAGCGAGTCCTTATATTTAATTAGATTCACATCGTAGCGGCGCACGCAGTGCACAACAAAATCATCGATTTCGGGAAACGAATCATCCGACTCAATATAGAGCATCGGGATTTGACGGCTGGCGATGCCATGCTCCCGGCAATAGCGCATCAACAGATCCAGCAGCACGGTGCAATCCTTGCCGCCATTAAAACAGAATATCAACTGGCTGACATCGTAGAGCCGCAGTACCCGGTCAAAGAACTCATACGCCGCACGGACGCGCCGCTCAATATGCTGGCGTGTCGCCTCTGTGATTATCACGGGATAGTCATCATCGTTGGACATGCTACCGTTGCTGCTTCCCCTGCTGCTGCTGCTGCTGCTGTTGCTGCTGCTGCTGCTGCTGCTGTATATGTCAACAATATTGGAGGATTTTGTGAGCGTTGCCTGTTGTGTCTGTATGCAGCATTTATTCATTTTGATTAACTATTTGAATACTCCTTCAACGCGCTGGCGACAGAACGTGCGACTCTCCAGCTGGACGCCACCTAAATAAGTAGAACGTGCGTGCGAATATAACAATTGTTTAACTACAACGACAACTTTCTCCCAAAACTGACTCTCTGTGTGTGTGTGTGTGTGTGTGTGTGTGTGTGTGCACAGTGTTGCTTTTATATAATAATTATCAACATTAACAATAGCTTTGTAGATTTGCGTTATCTGTTCCGCAAATTACATCACATGCACGCTTCACACACACACACACACATGCACGCGCGCACACACACACACACACACACACACATACACGCAGCGTAGCTACCTACTTTTATTCAAATTAATATTCAAAAAACGTTAACATTGCTTTTTGATTTGGTTCTTTTTTTTTTTTTTTTTGCCTTAATCTCTAGTTATAAGTGCTGCACAGCGCTGCCCATAAGCTTTGAAAGTCAGCTGTTGCGGGCAGCTGGTGCGCCAGCTGCAGTCTGGCAACGCTCAGTTGCGTGCAGTGCTGTAAAATGCGTTCGTTACATTTGAATTTTTGTTTGCAAAAGCGTTTTATTTGCATATATTTTGTTTCTCTTTTTTCTTCTTCATCTGCTTTTTACATGTAACAAATGTGCGTGTGTGTGTGTGTGTGTGTGTGTGTAACTTTAACAAAAAACAATGCAATAATTGCGTTAAACGCCTAAATTAAACATTTAGTTGCTATATCAATATAACAAATGGGCACTGTCGGTTGTTTTTTCTATTTGTTTATGTTTTTTGTTGCTGTGCTGTGCTTGGCCTGCGCCTAAACATCCACATTGTCCAGAACATTGTCAATGAGTCCGACAACTTTTTGACGAAATCGACGATTCTGCTTGCCGCTCATCTCCTTCAGATACGGATGCAGGCTGATCAAAAACGAATAATCCGCATCCGGTTGCGCTGCTGCCGGCGTCGCTGCTGCTGCTGCTGCTGTGGCAGGTGGTGCAGTTGGTGCAGGTGTGCTTGCAGCTGGCGGCGTTGTTGCCGCGTGTCCCAGATGCGTCAACATGTTGTTGCTGTTGTTGTTGTTGCTGTTGCTGTGCAGATGCTGCAACTGCAACTGGCTGTGGCTGCCTTTGAGCCACTCGGCCACCGTCCAGTCCATGTTGTTGCGCAGCGCCGCAGCCATCGTCACGGGCAGCGTCACCAGCGAATGCTGCGCAGCTGCCGCAACAATTTTGTCAGCACTTTGTTGCTGCTGCTGTTGCTCCACTTTGATGGCCTGCAGACGGAGCGGCGTCTGCGCCAGCTGGCTGGCATCTGTCTCCTGTTCCGGCTCATCCTCCTGCTCCTCCTGGTCCAGCTCCTCTTCGGAGAGCTGCACATGCGCCGGCTGGCTGTCAATGCTGTCTTTGGTGTTGTCCTCGCCTTCGTTATGCTGCTCCTGATGATGATGATGATGATGATGTTGATGATGATGCTCGAGCAGACGCATGTGTCCAATGCGCGTCATTGGCTGCGTACTGAGCGCAGCGGCCGCCAGAAATGTTGCCGCCGTTGTTGAGGTGCTCGGCTTGCGCAAGACCATGCCGCCAGCATGGTTGGTGCTCGCATTGGTTTGGGGCGTGGCATTTGTGCTGGCGTTCGCATTGGCTTGGATTGGGGCGGGCAGCAACTGTTTGTGACAGGCGCGCGATTTTGTATAGGGTATCAGAAATTGCAAATATTTGGATAAATAATATTTGCGTTTGCCGCGACCCGTTGTCGTGCGCGCCGCCTTCAAGGATCGCAGGAAGCTGCTGCGTATGGTACGCCAACGTTCCCGGGAGTTACGCACTGCAATGGATTGAAATGGAGATGTATTTGTTATTTCGCATGCAGCTAATCGATATGCATAGTTACACCCACCCCCCCCCCCCCCCCCCCATTTCTCTCCCCTTTCGATCCTCTCTCCCCCTAATTAAAATTTCAATAAAAGCACATAGAGAATAAACAAAATAAATCATAACCCAAAACATAACCTTAAAATAGTCAAGCTCATAAGAAACATAACCTCAACCTCAAAAATAAAAAATAAAAAAAGCCTGCTTGGACTGCTTGCCAAACAGTTTTTTCAAAGGGGATATAACAGATGCAGTGCTGTAAAACACAGCATGGCAAGCGGTGTGCGGCAACAAGTGTTGGTTAAGCCTGCAGCTATTTGCATGCAGGGTATTTTCACTGCGCTGCGGTTTTTTAATAACATGCCAAAAGCAGGCAGCAGGCAGCAACAACAAAAACAAGCGCAGCAACAGCGACTAATTGCATGCAAACGCTGCGCGCAGTTATTGCTGTGTGTGACACAGTGACACACACACACACACAAGGCAAGTGCAAGCGAGTGCAAGCGAGTTGGCATGACTACAAATTGCGATTGCATTGAAATCGCACGCACACACACACACACACAGCAGCAGCAGCAGCGAAAAGCTTGCATCATAGGCGCGCGCCAACACACACACACACACACACACACACGCACACATTTGCACAACAAATGAGCACGCAATTGCAAAAAAAAAAAAAAAACAAAAAATAAATAAATAAACGAAAATGGAAATGGAAATCTACAAGTGCAGCAGCAGGCGAAATGAAAAGTTTTTTTCAGCCTGCAGCATTTACAGATGCAGTTTGTTTGTGTTTGTTTTTTTTTTTTTGTTTGGATTTTGCACCTGTATCCTTGATTTCATTGGCCACATGTTGCCAGGCCTTCTGCACCTCCTCCTTTTTGCTATAGCCCGGATGTGTATAGTTCCATAGGCATGCCTGGTTTTCCACCAGCTGCACGAATTTCACATTGAATACGGGATCATCCTTGCGTGCCATGCTAACGCTTTACAACACTGACACACTGCCGCGGCACCGTTACAATTGCAGCAGGAGCTAGCGAAACGCACATTACACGCCTATTTTTTGCTATCGCAAAAACAACAACAACAACAAACAGCAACAACAACGGTAAAATAACAATTTCAGATATTGCGCGCGCGCTCTCTCTCTCTCTCTCTCTCTCTCTCTCGCTCTCACTCGCAGCTGCAGCGGCGCAAATTGCGGCGGGCAAATGCAACAAACGGTATAATAAGCTGAAGTAAAAAAAAAAATTTTAATTGTTTTGCTTGTGTTTTTTTTTTTATTATTATTATTATTTTTTTTGTTTTTTTTTTTTGTTGTTGTTTTGCCAATGGGCAAACAGCAACAACTTGTCGCAACGAAAGCGCCGAGAAAACTGAAACCGAAACTGAGCGCAAAAAAGCTGACAAATAAAAGCTGCAACGTAAACAATGCCAAACGGTTGGCGGCTGCGGCTAGAATCAACATCAAATGCAGCAAAGCAAAAAAAGCAAAAAAAAAAAAAAAAAAAAACGGCAAACAGCAACAACGGTTAACGTAGCAGCTGCAGTTGCGGCGGCAATCATTCAAATAAGCTTGTGTTTGCATATCTGCATTTGTGTGAGTGTGTGCAAAAAGCTTTGGCTCTAGCGATGACGTCGCTGGCGGCATTTGTTGCATACAAACGCACGCACACACACACACACACGGACAGTCACACGCGCGAAATGCAAGTTTTTGCATGCACACACGCGCGCATGCTTTGCCTAATTGTGTTTCAATGTGTGCACAAAAAGGCGGCAATAACAAACTGGCGCACTTTACAGCACTGAAAACGCGCAGTGGCAACGCTGTTCACGAACTAGTTCCGCAACAGCGCATATGTAACACAATTTTGTGTTTTCTTATTGCTAGAAATCAATTCAAATAAAATACCATGGCGGCCAGCGCAAAATCAATGCTCAACAGTGTGACACAGGTGAGTGCTGTATAATGGATGCTCTGGCAAACAAAAGCTTAACCACAATATGCCATTTGCAGCTGGTGCGCTCGCTGCACACGAAACCCGCCAGCCTGTCCAGTTTCCGCTCGTCCCGTGAGCTGCAGCCGCTGGAACAGTATCCGGATGTTGAGATTGTGCACAATCCGCCCGAATGGAAGTTTGTGGAGCGACTGCTGCCGCCCGCCACAGTGCCACAGCCAATTGCCAAGCCGGTTTACCCCTCCGGTTGGCAGCCACCGAAATCCGATGGCCAGGCGAGCGGCTATTTTGTGGCCCGCACCAAAAACCATATGGTGCCCGTCTATCTGCATGCACGCTATCGCGGCCAGCGTCGCCTCACCGTTGTGCGGCGCGTTCACGGCGACATCTGGGCCCTGGAGCGCGAGCTGCGCGCGCTTGTGGAGCGCGCCCGCAATGGCAAGCTGTGCGCCACGCGCGTCAACGAGCTGAGCGGCCAGATCCACATCCACGGCGACTATGTGGATCTGCTGCGCACGCATCTCAAGCAGCTGGGATTTTAGCTTAGATCGCATACAAATTACTGTCAATAAACATGCCCATTCGCCACCCGCAGCTCGGTTTGACGCAAATGGTATGTACATAAACTCGGATTAGATCCATTTTGGAGAATCCCATTCAGTTGAGGCGATACTACTCACTGACTCGCTGCTGCTCTGGCAGAGATTGCACTTCCTCCTAAGCCAGTTGCTTTGATATGTTATGTCCATTGCGATTCACAAGCCCACGAAATTTGGAGTTTCTACAGTGAATTTCGAGAAAGTCGTTTGTTTCCACGCATTTTCCACACTTCAAGGGGAAACTAACAAAAAAAAAATAATGCAATTTTGCACGATTTGCGCTAATGTTTATTATGATTTGTATATTATAAATATGTTTCTGATCCAAACGGATCAGCTCTATATATAAATATGGATCCAAACGAATCCAAAGCAAAACCGACAAACAGCTCTATTCACATATGCCTCGGAAATGAGAGCTTCCACAAATTGGAACTTAAATATCTATTTGAAATCGAGCGCGAATAACTCCATACAATACACATTTAATATTCATATTCATAATACAGATATGGATATATATCTAAAATATCTGCTTAAAACTTATATAACATCTATATTTTCAGCTTGAACTGATCAAGAAACAAGAGTTCGCTTCGCTTTACAGTAATGAGACAAAAAAAAAAAAACATTGGCTTTATTTAGTGTACAGATCTACACTTATCTCTATATATATATATATATATATATATGTGTGTGTGTGTGTGTGTGTGTGTGATTATTGCAATCGATTATACTGAGCGTGTGACTTTTCTAGACGTTGTTCAGGACAAGATCATTGTGGGGGCAGGGACGAAGGGTATTGGCGCTCCATACGGCCATATATATATATATATATACAATGTGTAAATATTGGTACAATTTCGACTTAGGATTAGTTGTGGGTTTGTGTTTGGGGCATTGACATTCGGTTTGCTGTTTCCTATACTAGAGACAGTTAGAGTTTAGTAGCATAATGGCTCGCAACAATAGTCGAGCTTCTGATTATTACAATCATAATCAACATCAGGTTCGTCAACAGTATTAACAACATCATCTGGATCATGAGGGGGGCAGCGAATGACAGGAGTAACGCGGTTTGGGTCGGGTTATATGAGCATTTGCCACCTTACGCTGCCATCAGGTAAGCTCCTTGTTGCGTGCACGTGCACGGGCACGAGCACGGGCATGGGCATAGGCAGCGGCACGCCACCGTTATCCATTGGCGCCCGCCATGGCGGTGGGAGTTAGGGGCACGCCCACCAAACCAGCAACGCCGTGCGGCATTGTTGGGGCAACGCCCGGCGTTGCTGTTACGGCCGCCGTAGATGAACGTTTCAGCGCCTTGCGTATAATCGTCCAGTCCTCCATAATATCCTCCTCGCGCAGCATATATACAACATAGGGTCCGGTGACGGTGACGGCCTTTTTGCGTCCCGGTCCGCGCACTTTGCTCTGGCGCTTGTCATTGCCCCAATCATCCCAGGAGATGTCGACATTGTGCCGATCCTCTTCGAGGCGTCGTATACGCTCCATTAGATCCTCGCGCAAATTATCCGCCGCCATTTGTTTCTCGCTCTGGCAAAGCAAAAAATGGTTTCAAACGACGCGACAAGAAACGGGAAAACTGGAGCCCGCACACTTACCTCAAAGTGCTGGGAGGCGGCCTGCTCTTCGGACAGATATTTGTGTTCGATATTCTGCAGGCGAAACTTGCGCAGCACATCGGCTACCTCGATGCGCGTCCGATACACCTTGTCCAGCTCCTTTTGTGGCTGCACAAACTCCTCGGATCGACCGGAACGCACATCTGACAGCTGCTGTTCAATGAGGCTGATGCGTTCGTAATAATATTGTTCGCGCAGCTGGCTAAACTGTCGCTCGAGGCTGGCTGTGGATATGTTGTGTGCTCAGTGGATGTGATAATGGTAAAATTTTTGCGGTTTACCCAGATCCTCTATGTGCTCGGCGCGGCGCAGCTCAATTTCGGTGGCATCCATTTCGGAGGAATCATCGGAATCGCATTCGTTTGCCTCCTCCTCTTCCTCCTCCTCGTCGGAGGTGTCGTGTGCCTGGCTGGAGTTGGAGCGCTCCGACTCCGCGCCAGAGACGTCGCCCTCCGCATCCGATTCGCCATTTTTAACTGGCATTTGGATTGTACTTTTGGTTTGGGTTGCGGTGCGGTGCAATTTGTTTTTATGTCGCAGTTCGCACTCACTTGTCTGCCGTGCCGTTCTACACAATAGTGCTAAAATTATATTCTACCTATTTTCAGCAGTTTGCCTTCGATTTAGTAAATTATGTGGAAATTTACTGGCTGCGAATATTGTTTTGCACTGCAGCTGCAAAAAGTGTTGGCTGACGACGCAAAAGCAAACAGTGCTGCATAGCTCAGCACTATCGATTATTATTATTGTATGCTATCGATAAATTGTTTAATACTTGCAATAATATTTGTTGTTGCGCTACTTGAGTGCTCAATTGATGGCATAAGAAAATTATTTCATTTTAGTATAAATTGTTAAATAAATGTGTTGCCTTGACGGCCACACGTACGCAAATGATGTGGCAAAAAATACCAAATGCGAATACCAAAACTGATGCACAAAAATACGCTTTGGTCACACGCACGCGCCAAGTAAACAGCTGACGTCTGAGTGTGAGAAAAAAAAAAAGAAGAAGAAGTTGAAGAAAAACAAATAGGCACTGCGATAAATACGTGTTATTTTTGTTAAGAGCGTGTACAATTTATATTGTTGTCTGCCAAGCAGTGAGCTATGGAAACGCCAACCACCGATGATTTGCTACAGTTTCGCGACTATAGCGCAACGAACAGCGGCACACCAGCACAAATCAATGTTAACTCGCCAACGCATGCAACTGTCGGCGGCAGCGGCAGCGGCAGCGGCGGCAACTCTAACGCACAGCGTCAACGTGGAGATCCGCTCTCTGATCTTATTTACGATATGAGCAACTCGGCTCAAACAATCATCGGTGGCGGCGGTCCAGCCGGCGGATCGGGCGCCCCAGCCGATGGAGCCGCTGGCGGTGCACGTCTCTCGTTTCTGACCATGGAATACTATCAGCAGTTCTTCAACGTGGACACGTATATGGTGCTCGAGCGCATTGTGAACTCAATGATACCCAAGCGGGCCGCTGCCAACTATTTGCGCATGAACATTGGCGAAAATCCGGATCTGTACGGACCATTTTGGATAACCGTAACGCTGGTAAAGCACACTCACAGTCACAGTCACAGTCACAGCCACGTCTTTGATATGCATACACTCACATGCGGTTCGTTTTCAGATCTTCTCGATAGCAATTAGCGGCAATATTGCCAGCTATTTGCAGCAGGCGAACGATAGCTACCATTGGCACTACAATTTCCATCTGGTCTCGTATGCGGCCACCTGCATCTTTCTCTATGCCAACATATTGCCGGCCGTGCTCTGGGCCCTGTTCAAGTACAGCCTGAAGCCAGTGGATGAGGCGGATGCCATCGAAACGGACAGCGTTAGTTAGAAGCACATAATAGTTGTCTGCACTTCTCTCTCTCTCTCATTCTCATTGTTATTCTCTGTCTTGCTCTAGCAGGCCAGCTATACGCCCAGCCTGTTGTCGCTCATGTGCATCTATGGCTATAGCCTGGCCATTTATATACCCGTCTCCATACTCTGGGTGATCAATGTGCGTATGGCATATGTTAATTATGTGAAATTTGATCAAATATGTTAAAATTTGCAGATTTCATTGCTACAGTGGCTGCTCGTGATAACGGCCGCTATGCTTTCCGGCACGGTGCTGATCGCAGTGCTGACGCCCGCGCTGCGCAACTCCAAATATTCGCTATTCCTTATTATTGGCATACTGGGCGCCCATATCATATTGGCCGCCGGTTTTCTGCTCTACTTCTTTCACAGTCCGCCGGAAGCGGCGTTGGCCGCCAAGCCAACGTCCGCACCACCGCTGCTGAAGGACGCCCTACAAAAATTATCCACCCAAGCGGTGGCCGGCGATCTGCCGCCGGGCAATATTACCGGATAGACCAGAGCGACCATTCCAAGCTAAGCAAATTTCGTTTGTTTCTTTTTTTTTTTTTTTTGTACATTAAGTTCCAAATAATTATGCCTATTTTATTTTTCACTCTCTTAACTATAATTTTGTTGGTCGCTTAACGAGACGTCAACAGCGTCAACAATAAATTCTTAAGAGTTAAGTCCGGAAATGGTTGCGCCTTTTTCTGGCCTTCCCAAGATACCCACAGAAAGGCAGCCACAACACGTGTGCGAAAGGATTCGCAACGATGTGCATATAGTTGAAACTGTGTGGAACGCGCATCGTTTCTCAGTTGTTGTTTGTCCGCTCGAGAGGCGTGTCCGCCTAAGAGGGGGCCATGTGTATGACCCCATATAAGTGTCCTAATAGAAGTGTCTGCTTTGATGCAAATATCGCATTCCGCTTCCTTTTGAAAAAAAACCCTCAGTACAGTCAGGCATCCGATAACGGACGCGTGTAAACCAGTCGCAACTTTTCGATTTGCTTGTTTTAGTTTCTCTTTTATAATATCAATAAAAATATTTGTATTCATAATCAGCCCGAATTTCACTCTGGTTAACTTTAGCGTGCGTCTACTGTACACACACAAAAGCTGCTCACTTCTGCCCAAATTTTTCGAGTCTTTCACATGAATTTCGCCCAAAACTTCAAATGTGCACCAAAGGTGCCGATTGTTGTTGCTGCTTGGAGCATCACAAATTTCCTAATGGCCGCACGTGCACACACACCCACACACACGCACACACACACACACACACACACACGCACACATAGGCATTGGTATTCCATATGGAGAGCCCGCCCTGCGGTGGGCTGATTTGTGGGTTGGGTTCTTTGCTGCCAGGTTGAATTCTTCACACACACACACACACACGCACACACATGCCCTTGTAAAGGGTATTATGATTTTGTCATGAAATGTGTAACGCATAGAAAAAAACATCTCCGACCCCATAAAGTATATATATATATATATATATGCTAGATTAGCATTAACCGTTCATAGCTCTCTCCCCGTCCGTCTGTCCATCCGTCTCCCTGTCCGTCTGTCCATCCGTCCGTCCATCTTTCGGTTTCTATAACTAGTCTTTCAGTTTCTTATTCCGTCATTTTGTTGCGGACAGGAGATATGTGGGAACCTTTCGGATCGGACATCTATATTATATAGCTGCCAAGGGAACGACCGGTTCAAAATGAAGTACTTGTATGGAAAACTTTTTTGTTTATCAAGATATCTGGCCCAAACTCGGCATTTATAAGTTTAACTATGATCCGCATATATATACTAAATCCTATCAAGATCGGCCCACCACATCATATAGTTGCCATAGGAGAGATCGGGCAAACAGCTGGTTCTTGTTTGAAAAACTTATTTGTTTTTTTACGATATCATGATCGCACTTCCAGATTCTATAAAAGGAATCGTTCGAATGCAAAGTTTTGGTATGGCGATGCTTTCGGTTTTCCGCGACAAATATCCGCGAGAGTATTTAGTCTTCGGCTTGCCGCTGAATACGCTTACACCCTCAATCCTGTGCATTTCTTGCTTTGGTGAATTTTATTCGCTTGGTTTATTTATTCCAGCAATGTGCAAATTATTTGCATGGCAGCAGCCTCCAAAAAAACAGGGTGTTGCTTCTAAAAAAAATTACAGCAAATAAAACACTAAGAGAAAAATGGAAAAACCTAAACCTCAAGCATATGTGATAAGTTATTTGCATAGTTTTGTCGTACTCAAATTATAAAAAAAAACTATTTTTAACAATTTGTAATTGTTTTCTTGATAATTGGGCTTGTGTTAATAGTTATTCCTAGCCCGAAGGCTTTGCTATTGTTCAACTTGAATATCAGCTAAATAACACTGATTGATAATCCTAACAATATCTTTGGTCATCATATCCAGGCATTACTGTACTGTGCTGCAACTGTGCTCGAGGCGTTGCTATAGAAATGTCACCCTGTATTTCGTATGCATACATCCTCTGTACGCAAACGCGTGTTAACATAAGTACAGGGCACACTCACTAAATGATACCATTTTATTTTATTCAAGATAGATATTATATTGGAGAAAGGAAAACAAATTATATGAAAATAATAAAATAAAAATATAAAACAAAAATATATTATATATATATATTCTAAATATGCATAAGCTTATGACTGGGTATACTTATGCATATAGATATAACAGGGTGTCTGCCAGTCGAGCACACACACGCACACACTTGCAAATATATTAAAGTGGAAATTTCTAATTTCGAATGCAAATATTCCAGCATCCAACGCATCGTTAGATACGTCGTTTATTTTGCTTCTTTTATGTTTATACTCTCTATAAAAAAAAATGGCTTAGAACAGGTATAACAGGTCTATAGTATACTAGAAACTAAATAAATTTCGTAAAGTATGTAGCATGTCGTACATTTGGAATGTTGTACGCTTCGAATGCCTCAATTTTGGACGCTTAGCCTTGGGCACGGGTATTTACACATCTTTCTATGGCAAATTGAAGCCTTGAAAATTTTTGTTTAAGATCAGACACGAAACAGCCAAGTTATTGAAGAACGCATTTCGAATATTTGGAAAGATGAAGTGCAAACGCAGCAGGCGGCATGTCTTGGCTATAGGGTATCTGCTAGTCGGGCACTGCTTGGCAACCCTTGGCCCACCCTTGCGCTTTGAATGCTCAAAGGTGCAAGCGAGATAGCAACAATTGGGTTGCGTGCATTTCCGGCCCCTGGTGCCCGGCCCCTTGCCATTTGCACGCATATATTCATGCATGAAAATGCTGCTGACTTTGTATGTGGACTCAGAATGCGGCATGCCGCTGGCTTATGGGGCGTATACATCACGTCGGCGGCAGCGGCTGCAGTTGACAATTTGTTTGCCAGCCAAATTGGAAATCAGCTTCAAACTCGATTGAGAGAAAATTTAATTGATTTATTTCCAGCTGGGGAAAATACAAGACAAGCTTTAGGTATATACATACATGGCACTCCAGTTGGGTGTACTCGACCAGGAGATACCCTCTCTAGCTTATTTCCATCAAGCACTTTGTTTTGCTTCCCCATTCCTCGAACTAGGTTTTTGTCGGATTTGCTTCAAATTCAAGTCAGTCTACCTCTTAATTAATCAATTTGATGTACATAGATGATTGATTGACAGTCTGAGAGACTGACTAAAACTTCAACTAGTCTCTCACTAATAGAGACTTAGCAACTGACTGACTGATGTAACGTATGGCTTGGTATGTGCATGAATCAATCTGTTAATCGATTAGTTAATAATATATATAACTCGTTGATTGATATAGAGA